CACGAGTGCGGGAGCATTCGCAGGCCCTGCTGGCCGCCTCCTCGGTGGCGTAGTATACGTAGCCGTAGTCGAGGAAGCGTTCGGACGGTACAGAGACCCTACCAGGCAGCCCTTGGCATTCTACCACGCGCCAGCTCGCCAGCAGGCACGGTGGCAGAGGTATCCCTCGGCCGAGTGGCTATACGTCTTTTACTGCGACACGCGATGTGGGGGGCATATAGACCCAGCGGATGCGCTAGGTAACGCTACCCCTACAGGCACGCGAAATACCACTCCTACACGCTCGCTCACACGCACGCACGCACACGTCTTGGCGGTCGCGGCCTCTCGCGCGGCGACGAGGCGAAGCAAGTCAAGTACGGCGGCCGAAACTTAGGCAGTTGCGAGCGCGCGCCAGTTCAGAGTGAAGGCAGCACATTGCCATCCGCGCGTGGGTGGTCCGGATACGAGAGAGAGCACTGGCCGCCGCCCATGGGGACGTCCCGCATGGGGAGCGCAGCACAGACAAGACGGGAAACAAGGTGTACAGTGACCGATCACGACTCCAGGCGGTGGCCACTGGCGAGACGAGGACGAGATTCCACGGGGCGCTACCGTCTGGCCTTCTTCCCCTGAGGACGCATCACACACACACACACACCAGGACACACGCGAAGTAGGCTCTTAAAACCAGACCTCAGGGCCGCGCTGAGTAACGCGTCCCCGCCCCAAAAGACAGGCTGGGCAACGAAACCACTTTAAGCACCCCAGCATCCCGATATCCAGCGCACCCCCCCCGACTCTGAGTGGCCACGCTGAGCATGGCGACTCGACCGTAGAAGACCGCTAAACCTCGCAACACCCGCGGTCGCATAGGAACACCTACGTGGGGAAGTGAGGAGGCGGGCAGCAAGAACAGCGCCACGGGCCGCGCTGCCCGAGCGCCGCGCGCGAACGCCGTGAGTTCTCGAGGCGGGGGGGGGGCTTCTACGCTGACCTGCGGGAGAGGCGTGCGCAGGCTGCGCGAGAGGCCGGGGTGGCGCACGACTGCATCCGACGACGTCCCCGACACGGGGGCGTCGTGGAAAGTGCGGTGGGCTTTTCTGGCCCGGTCGGGGTCGTGCGACCCCGTCGGGGCGGTCCGGCTCGAGGAATGGCGCATATGCGGATGGGTTCGGCAGTTTGGGCCGTCTGCGTTCAGGTAGTCGCGGCGGATTGCGGCAGGAACCATGAGTGTCCTTGCCAGCCCACGCGTCTTTCAGGATGCTTGGCCTTCTCTCTCTCTCTCGTGATTTTTGCACGCGAGGTTGGGGCGTTCGGGGCGAGCGCGGTGGGCTTCTCATCAGACGCCAGTTGCGAGGAGCCCGCGCGCGTACCCCAACGAGCCGCCCAGAGACCCACCCCGCCGTCGGGGTCCCGCAGGTTGCTCGATTGCCGGTGCTCCCGCCCTCTGCCCGGGTCGGGGCTCTCGAGACGGGGGTCAGTGCAAACGGGGGTCAGCCAGGGCGCCCGATCTTGCAGGATCCTGCAGGGCCAGGGTCGCCATTGACCTGGGCTTGGGCGCAGGATCCTGCAGGATTTTGCAGGATCCTTCGCATTGACCCAGGTTTGGGTGCAGGATCTTGCAGGATTCTGCAGGGCCTGACTGACCTGGGTTTGGGTTGACCCAGGTCAGAAGATCCCCGATGTTTCTCTGGCTGGCAAGCCTCCACTCCCTCGCGTGCTCGGCAGCCAGGCAAAGCGACGATTGTGTGGTCCTTCACGGGAGCCTCATAGGGTCACAGAATTCCTTGCGGTTCCGGGGGGCTCGTTTGTTTTTCGTAGGGATTTGGTCGGCATTTGGACGACATCTGCACAACAGACATGTGAAGCGGGGTGGTTGGAATTGGCACACCACATCCAGTCGGAATCACGTTTAGGAGAGGGCCGCGGAGATCCACAGAGGCCCCCATGAAGGCTCACCCAAGGACGAGAGGGGGGAGGGCGGGCGCAGTCGGAGCCTACGGCCCAGCAGCACCATGCCCACGGCAGGGGTGGGGTCCGTGCAAGGAGGACGTGGGCAAGGCCCCTGGAGACGGCACCGGGCTAGCGTGAATACCCCGCCAAGCCATTGCAGACGACCAGGAGGGGGGAAGGGACGGAGGTGGGGAACGGGGGGGAGGCATACGGTCGGGAACTGTAGGGTAGCGTGTCGCTCCGCGGGTTCTGGCCCACCACGCTTTGGCGCGACACGCTATCCAGTTCTCGGACCCCGGGCTTCCACGTCTCGAGCTTTTCCGAGCCTCCCGCCCCGCGGAGCGGAGCGACAGGCTACCCGCTCGCAAGGGATAGCGTGTCGCTGGGGCCGCCGCCGCGACACGCTATCCAAACGTTCCTGACTGTGGGCGCGTTGGCCTTCCTTCCCCGGCGGAAGCCTGGCGAAAGCCAGCAGAAGTAAGAGACCCCCCCCCCCCTGAAGAGGAGGCGACGTCAGCGTTGGGCTTCATTGTCAAGGGATCGGCGCGTTGATGTTCCTCCCTCGGCGGGCGCCTGGCAGGAGCAAGCGGAAGCGAGAGACACCTCCCTGAAGAGAGGCCGGCGCCAGCGTCGACTCCCGGTGCCAACCAGACGGGGCAGGGGAGGGGGAAAAGGGGTGAGGGGGCGGAAGGTGGGGGCGGAAGGCGGGATAAATATATAGATATATATATATATATATATATATATACATACCTATACGAACACCCTTCGGGTGATAAGGAGGTTCGGGGGGGGGGAACCAACGTCTCACTCAATCGGTCTCACTATCGATCTCAGTATCGATCTCACTATCGGTCTCGCTCGATCGATCTCACTTGATCGATCTCACTCGATCTATCTCATTCGATCGATCTCACAATTAATCTCACAATCGATCTCACAATCGATCACACAATCGATCTCACATTCGGTCTCAATATCGATTTCACTATCGATATCACAATCGCTTTCACAATCAACGTCATCATCATCATCAACATCATCAACATCAACATCATCACCAACATCGTCATCATCATGATGGAACAGCCATCATCATCATCATCATCATCATCATCATCATCATCATAAACATCATCATCAACGTCAGCACCATCATCGGGACAACATCATCATCACCATCACCATCATCATCTCATCATCAACATCATCATCATCATCGGGGCACAGTCATCGTCATCATCATCAGCAGCATCATCGTAATCATCATCATAATCGGGACACCATCATGATCACCATCGTTCTCAGCATCAACATTATCATCAACATCGTCATCATCCTCGGGACACCATCATCATCATGATCATCGCATCATCATCATCAACAACATCACCATTGGGGCACCATCATCATCATGAGCAACATCATCATCAACATCGTCATTATCATTGTTATTATCATCAACACACCATCAGCATCACCATCATCATCATCACCATCATCATCATTATCAGCATCGTCATCGGGACACCATAATCATCATCAACATCATCATCATCAACATCATTATCGCCGGGACACCAGTTCCATCAACATCATCATCACCAGCATCATCGGAATCATCATCATCATCATCTGGACACCATCATCGTCATCATCATCAACATAGTCATCATGAGCATCATCATCCTCATCATCGGGACACTATCATCATCATCATCATCATCGACACCATCATCAACATCATCATCTTCATCGGGACACCATCATCATCATTCCATCATCATCATCATCAGCATCGTCATCATCATCATCATCATCATCATCATCATCATCATCTCATCATCATCATCATCTCATCATCATCATCATCATCATCATCATCATCATCATCATCATCATCCTCCTCGCGGGACACCGCGGGACACCGGCGGGACACCGCGGGACACTGCGGGACACCGCGTGACACCGCGGGACACCGCGGGACACCGGCGGGACACCGCGGGCCACCGGCCGCCCGGAAGGGAGTCATTTGGTCCGGCCGCGCCTCAGCCACACGGGACACCAGCGGGACACCGGCGGGACACCGCGGGCCACCGGCCGCCCAGAAGGGAGTCATTTGGTCCGGCCGCGCCTCAGCCACAGGAGATTTTTCTCTCGCCCGCCCACGCAGCTTCGCCTCGCCCGCACGGCACGCACGAACACGAAACCGAAATCGATTTCCCGGTAGGGGGGCTCTCCGTTCCACTTCGATCTCACCCCCCAACCTCCGATATATATATATATATATGTATATATATATTATATATATATATATATTATTATATATATATATATATATATATATATATATATATACATATACTCATACATAGAGAGAGGGGGAGGAGAGAGAAGATCCTGCAGGTAGCCGTGATATAGATATGCGGCCCGCGTAGTCCCGACACTTTCCCCAGAGCCAGTGTTTCATCCTGGGCTGTCTTGTGACAGTCCCGGGGCCCGGCGGGGCCCCGCCGAACATAGAACAAAAGCAGCGCGATGCCTGACACAATGCGGCGAGGGCCTGGGGAGAGGGAGGCGGGGGGGATAAAGAGTGACGAGCGAGCGAGCAGAGGCTCCCCCCCTCTTGGTGCTGTTTTTTTAGATCCTGACCCTGCCAAGTTTACGTGCATGGAGAGGGAGGGGGAGAGAGGGGGTGGGGGCGGGGCGAATCCCGAGAGGAAAGCTGCACTTCACGCAAGCCGGGGCTCACTTGCACGTCTTTTGGCGCCCAGCGCTCTCAGGACCAGAGCGGCGGAGAGGGGGAGGGGAGGGGCGGGGGGAATGCCATGCAGGTGAGGGAGAGGGGAGGGGGGAGGGAGGGGGGGGAAGGGAGGGGAGGGGAGGGGAGGGCGGCGGAGAGGGGAGGGGAGGGGGGGAGGGAGGGGAGGGGCGAAGGGGAGGGGAGGGGGGAGGGGGAAGGGGAGGGGATGGGGGGGGGGAGGGGGAGGGGGAGGGGGAGTCTTCCGAACAGCAGGCTGCCGCCCCCTTGCGGCGGGGGGCCGCCCGCCCGCCTCCTCTGCGAGGCCTCGGGCAGCCACGCCACCACGCCGCCACGGCGCCCACGCCTGCGCTGTCAGCGGAGCCTCCTTGGCGGGCCCCGCCGCCTGGGCGCGGGGCCCGGTGTCGATTCCTCTGGTTCGATTCGATTCGACTTCGATGGCTTCCGATACCAATTCGATCCGAATTCGGATTCCGATTCGGGATCCGGTTTGTCAATGGAGGCCTACTGGCCTGCCGGTGCCTGCCGATTCGACTTATCCCGACTCAGCTGCCGACCTCCGCCGATCCGATTCATTTCGATCGCCGATCCGACTTCTTGATTCGATCCTGGGTTCTCCTGCCTGGACCTCCTCCTCCTCCTCCTCCTCCTCCTCCTCCTCCTCTCCTCCTCCCCCTCCTCCTCCATCTCCTCTTTCCCCTCCCCCTCCTCCCCCTCCTCCTCCTCCTCCTCCTCCTCCTCCTCCTCCTCCTCTCCTCCTCCTCCTCCTCCTCCTCCCCTCCTCCTCCTCCCCTCCTTCCTCCTCCTCCTCCTCCTCCTCCTCCTCCTCCTCCTCCTCCTCCTCCTCCTCCTCCTCGGGTCGCCTACGGCCCCGGGGGAAACCGTGCACCCGGACCCCCTCGCGCCGTGAACAAAAGGCGGCGGGAGGCCTGGCAATGTTCGGCTAAGGCCCTCGCCGGGCCCCCCCAGGGCCGTTAAGGCACGGCGCGGGACGACGAACCGGTCCCGGGGAAGGGGCCCTGACCTCGGGAGGGCCACACGACGTCGGGGATTTTGGAGGTCGGCAAACCTTGGCAGTCTCGCGTCGGGAAGGGAAAAGCACCGCGGGGAAGGCTTCTGGCCATTTTGTCGGGCCCTCGGGGACGTCCTCTGGGCCCCAGGGCCAGCCACAGAGCGGCCCAGGGCGAAAAGTGCTTCCCGGGAAGAGGCTCTGACCTCTGCGGAGCCACGTTGCGAAAAGTCACAGCGTCGGATGCCCGAGGCGGGGATTGATCCGTGATCACCGCCTAGGGGATCGATCTCCGCGGACCTCCACAGGCGGTAAGGGAGAGTGAGAGAGTGAGAGAGGGGATTGGGAGGAGGGAGGGGGGAGGGGTGGAGGGAGGAGGGGGAGAGGGAGGATGGGGCGTGGCGGGTTGATGAGGAGGGGAGGGCTGAGGAGGAAGGGGGCAGGGGAGAGGGGGAGAGCGCGGGGGGCGGGAGAAGGAGGGGGGAGGTGGGCCGCCGCCGGCAAGCAAGGCGCAGGTGCCGCGAGTCACCCGAGAGACGGCTGGCGGCGGCGAGCAGAGGTGAGAAGTGGAATCGCGCGGCAGTGGTGGTCGTCCGCGCGTCGAGGTGTTGTGGTGGCAGTGGCGTCACGGATCAGTTCGCCGGTTTTATGCTTTTCGCAGTTGCTTCACCGATTTTCATCTGAGCGACGCAGAAAAAACTAGTTCGATTGTGTGGACATTCGCGCGTAAATTGCCCCCGTAAGTCAATTGCGTGGGCATTCCCGCGCAAGCTGCCCGCATAAGGTCGCGCGTAAGCTGCCCGCGTAAGGTCAGCTGGTGGCGTGCCGCGCTGGCGCGTCGCGTAAGCCACCGCGTAATGTCACTATGGAGTGGTCTTCGGCCCATCCCGCCAGTGCGTCTGGGCGTCTTGGAGCCCTCTTGGGTCCGTCTAGGAGCCCTCCTGGGCCCGCGCCACCACGTGCCTACCCCCGGGAGACTTGGCGATGTGACTCCTCAGGGCTGGGGACTGAGGCTCGGGGCACTGGGCAACGGACCTGAGGGCACGCCCAATCCGTGCCCAGAGGCACGGTGGTGGGTGTCATCTTGCTGGGGTTAGGACACGTTTCTCTTCGCGGCTCATTTGCGACGCCATCTGCCCGCTTTGGAGATAACAGTGGTGTCAAGGGTCAGTAGGCACCCGTGGAAGGCCGTAGGTTACGATCGCAAAGGCATACGCGCTAAACTGTCGGAGCGGAGCACTGCGCAGACTCCCTGGGTCGGCGCTGGACTCCGGCGCCGCTCCTATGGGTGGGTGGGCCAGCGCCGATCCAAGACATCCGCGCGGAGCTCCGAAAGCCTCCCTTAGTGCTATGCTTGTTTTCCCGTGAGAGCCATACGGTGCTAGCGTGTCGCTCCGCCGGCTCTGGCCCACCGTGCCTTGGTGCAACACGCTATCCACCTCGCGGTCCCGAGGCGTCCAAGTGCCGAACTTGTCCGAGCTTCTCGTCCCGCGGAGCGGAGCGACACGTTATCCGCTTGCAGGACATAGCGTGTCGCTGGGTCCGCCGCGGCGACGCGCTACCTAAAAGTTCCCGATCGTGTTGGTCGTGGCCAGTGCTGGGAGCAAGCCCGCTGGGATCTCAACAGGAGGGGAGGAGGGGGGAGGGAGGACGAGTGAAGCAGGGGCAGGGGACGCGGATGCCTGCGGTTTCCCTGCCAGCCTGGGCAGCCCACGGCGTGACCCTGGCGAAAAGCTCGGCTCAGAAGGCAGCGCGCCCACCAAGCCGCCCAGGACGTCGCGCGCCGCGGCGCCATCACCCCGTCGAAGCCAGGGTCCGCGTCCAGCGCCGCGTTGCGCCCGTCGCTGAAGCTGAAAGATTTCCACGGCGTCCTCGTCCTTGACGTCGTCGTCCTCCTCCTCCTCCTCATCCTCCTCCTCCTCCTGGCTCAAGCCACTCTGGCTCAAGCTGGCCTCTCGCTCCCTGAACCCCGCGAGCGGCGCGCCTGGGCGCGCGCCTGGGCGCCTCATGGTGGCCCGGAGCAGCTGGCACCCTTTTCGGCACCTACGGCGTGGCAGGCAGTACTTCGCGAAGTACGCTATGGCCAAGCAGGTGCCCTCCGAGACCATGGACACTCAGCAGCCATTGGGCCTGATCGCTAACACCTCCTTCTTGAACAAAGAGATCTTCCTGTCCGAGCTCATCACCAATGCGCCCGATGCCATGGACAGGGTGCAGAAGGACATGAAGCTGCTGCCGCTCAAGATCGCAAACAAGATCAAGAAGCCCTTCAGCAATGTCGAGGTGAAGGGGGAGCCCAAGGACATGCAGGCCGATGAGGTCTTTGCCATGTTCCTGACGAAGGTGAAAGTGACCGCCGAGAAGAACCTGGGCAAGGAGGTCCACCATGCAGTGGCCGCTATACCGGCGTATTTTCATGAGGTGCAGAAGCAGCCCAAGAAGGACCCGAGCACTAACTCTGGGATGAACATCCTTCAGATCATCGGCGAGCCCACGGCGGCGATCGCGTATGGCCTGGACAGGAAGATCGAGAAAGAAATCCAGGTGTTCAACCCCAACGAGGACAAGGCCGTCGAGGAGATACGCGAGGTGATCACGAAGAACTTCCCCGACATGAATTACAAGCAATTACAAGCCCGACTGCGAGAAGTACGTCGAGTGCGCCTGGGACGCGAAGGCGGCCAAGCTCCCGCAGGAGCCAATGACGCTGGCGAGCCCGTCGGTCATCGTGAAGCCCTTCTGCGAGGTCGCGCCGCAGAACCAGATCGAGGTCAAGGTTGTTGGGGAGATCGCGGACAAGTTACCCAACCTCAAGCTCAATCCCGTCTGCAAGACGGACATGGAGAGCGCGTGTGACGCGGCGGTGGTCAAGTGCCCGCACGAGCTGAAGACGCTGGCGAGTCCGACATCCATCGAGAAGCTCATCTGCGAGGCCGCGTTGCAGAATCAGATCGAGGACAAGGCCGTTGAGGAGATCCGCCAGGCGTCTGGCGCCAAGGTCACCCTCGAGCCCACGGCCGCTGGCAGCACCGTCGCCAGTCTGACACCGAGGCCTTCCTGAAGGCAGCGGCTGTTGGCAGCGACATCTCCATGATTGGGCAGTCCGGAGTGGGCCTTTACTCGCGTATCTCATCTTGTACTGGTGTATGAGGCCAATTCCACTATCACGGTGCATGCAGTCTCTGTGTTGTCTCTCGCCGTTGTGTGCAAACCTTCCTTGAGAAGGAGCGGCTTTACGGTGCATGCAGTCTCTGCGTTGTTTCTCGCCTGTGTCTCATGAAACCTTCCTTGAGAAGGAGCGGATTTTGCAGCGTGCCCGAATGCTGCGGTAATGTTGAGGCGGGGGCCAAGGTGCACCCCTGTCATCTGCGATCGGGCGATACGATCGACCCGAACTCTTCCGCGAGGTTTTGGGTGAGGGTCGGGTCGGCAAACCCTCCGCCTCCCTCATTAACCATGAGATTGTCCTCCCTCTCCTCCTCCTCCTCCTCCTCCTCCTCCTCCTCCTCCTCCTCCTCCTCCTCCTCCTCCTCCCAGATGGCGTCCATGGGCGCAGCCAGCGCTAATGTAACTGTCGTCCGGCTGACGAACAGGGACGTGATCGCCAGCAGGAAAGACAGGGCAGCCGTGGCATCGTACATCGATGCGCGACCGCATGCCGGCGCAGGTCTTCTCGGCCTCCGTGGCATTGGGGCAGGGCGCCAGGCTGTGCGCCTCGGCAACAAGCCCAGGCTCCAGGTGCACGTCTTCCAGCAGGTTGGGGGCGCTGCGCGGGCCACCCCCAGGCGGGGTACAGTCAATACGTTGAAATCAGGGCCACTTGGGGCTCAGGAGGGGCTCCGTGTTTCGGGGCGTTCCTGGGTCGGGGAACCCGTTCGTGCGCTCAGGAGCCCCTTCCGTTCTTTGTCCAGCTGCATGCGGCAAACCTCGCCGCCGTGCCTTTGCAACAGCGCACCAGGAAGGAGGCTCAGTGTAGGAACAGCGCAAGTCATAGGAGTTGTCTACATTTCGGGCGCGTCGTGGTCCCGATCTTCTCTTCGTCCGTACGGTAGGGAGGAGGAGGGGGTGAGGGAGAAAATGGGGATGAGAACTTCTTAAGGCCTTGGGGCCTCCTGGGAGCTTCCTGCCAGTTTCTCGGGGGCTTATTGGGCATCTTGGGGGCCTCTTTAAAGTCTTAGGAGAGTCTTGGCCCTTCTGGCGCCTATGGAGGCCGGGTTGGGGGCCTCTCTAGGGCGCGCTGGTGCCGTTCACGGCCGTCTTGGGGCCCTCTTTGGGAGCTCCTTGGGCGATCGTTGGGCTATTTTGGGCCGACTTGGGACCTTATTGGGGGTCGGGCTGTCTGGGAGCTATATCGGAGACCTCTTAGAAGTGTCTTGGGCCGTCTTGGGTGGTCGGAAACCCGCACGGGAGAGAACCTCCCAATCATTCAAAAACCAAAAGCTATCAATGGTTCTGGCCTGCCTCATCAGGCTTTTCAGGAGGGCCTCTTGGAGACCTCCTGGGCCGTCTTGGGGGCTTCTTGGTTTGTCTGGAGGCTGTCATGGGAGCCCCTTGAGCCGCCATCTTGAGCCAAGGCGTCATCTTGGCTGCCTTGAAAGCCGTCCTTGAGGCCATGAGGCTCCCAAGAAGGCCTCAAGATAGATCAAGTGGCCCCCAATGACGGCCCAAGGGGTCTCCGAGAGACCCTCCAGGAGAGTCCCAGGAGGCCCAAACTATTGATCCACCTTCGGTGTTTGAAGGATGTTCAGGTCTGGCATGTTTAGATTTCCGACCGCCCAAGGCAGCCCAAGAGGTTCATTTGCGCCGTCTTGTTGCTCTTCTGGAGCGTTTCAAGGCCGTGTTGGGGCCCGTCTTGGGGGCCCCTTGGGCAATGTCTGGGTCCGCTTAGGCCGACTTGGGACCCTCTTTGGGGCCTCTTGGGCTGTCTCGAAGCTATGTTGGAGGCCTCTTTGAAACCTCTTGGGCCGTCTTGGGTTGTCAGGAACCCGAACGGGCGAGAACCTCAAAATCCTTGAACGACCTTAGGAAGTCAATGTTTTTGTTGGTTGGCCACTTCGGGCTCGCTGGGAAGACCTCTTGGAGTTTCCTCGGGCCATTGTGGGGGCTTCTTGGGCCGTCTTGAGGTCCTCTTGGGCTATTTTGGGCCGTCTTAGGCTCTTGTGAGAGGCTCTTGAGCTGTCCTGGGCCATATTGAGCCGTTTTGTTCTCGTCTTGGCTGTCTGGGAAGCCGTCTTGGAGGCCATCTTGGCCGTCTCAAAACCGAAGTATTGCCAGACCGCGATGTCATCAGGGACTGTTTTTAGGAGCGCGTGCGTCGAGGGGAGGGGCCCCTTAAAACTCTACAAAACCTCCCAGATCACAGACGCGCATTCTAACGCGCCCACTGCGTGCAGGCACCGTGGCTGCTTTTGCGTTCCTTAGGTTAACACTGCAGCAGCAGGCGGCGCAGCCGCAGTCGCCCGCGCCAGGGCGTCGTCCAGCTGCGACGGCTGGCGGCCCCCGGAGGCTATGCAAAGGCGCCCAGGAGGTGCATCGCCACGCGCGCCTCGGCTCTGGCGTGCGCCTCGCGTCGTGCCCACAGCCGGCCGAGGGTGACGGCGCCGGGCGCGGGGCACCCCCCGTGCGCCGCTCCCTCGCGCAGGCACCACAGGCACGGTCGGGCGGGAGGGAGGCGGGGAGCGGCGCCCGGGGCGCCAGCGGCAGACAGCCAAGACGAGGAGAGAAGGACCACTCTGACGTCAGGAGGGGCTCGCTGTGCCCTAAGCTTAGGTCGGGCACGTCCCCCAACATGCGGATGTTAGCCCCCCAGATTGAAGATAGTCCAAACATGTTCAAAGATAGTCAAAATATACTCGACAAATCGTCCCCTATACTATTTCATTTAACGAGGTTTGAATATTCCCCCTGTAGGAGGGGCAGGCCCGACTTAACCCTATGCTCTGCCATGGCTGTTCCTCGATCACTCCTCGTGCACCCAGGTGCTTAAGGGGGCCACGCAGGAACTTTGTCCCTGATTTAACGTTTCTGCTGGCAGCACCTCCGCTGTATGGTATCTGGAGATTTGGACACCTCGGACTGCCACTGCCATGGTGCGTGTGGCCTGGCTGTCACAACAACGATGTCCCCCGAAGGGGCAGTGTAGCCTCATGGCCCTCACCTGTGCCCACCCATGGGCTCAGAGGGAAGAGTCCCCAGACCGAGGGGAGGCGATGGAGGGCTGCAGCACGGCCGGGCACGCGATCGGGGAAGCCTGCAGTGATCTTCGGCTGTGTACGGAAGTCGCCCATGATGAGTGTGCGTGACGCTGGCCTCACGAAGCCTTCTGATGCGAGCGTGCCGTCGTGGAGGCCCTGGAGCTCGGCCTGCCACTCTGTGTCTTGCCCTTGACGTCGCTGTGGCTGGCGGGGAGTTCAGTGGAAGCCGGCGCGCGAGCTCTTGGGAGGCCCCGGAGGGAGCGGGGAGGGAGGGGAGGGCGGAGGGAGGGCGGGAGGGAGGGAGGGCAGGAGGGAGGGGGGGAGGGAGAGGAGGGAGGGCGGGGGAGGGGAGGCAGGGAGGGCGGGGGAGGGGAGGAGGGAGCCTCCCCCTCCGCAGGGCCCGTGCCTCCCACTGCGGCGCCTCGGCGGCAGACCCCGGAGTGCTCCCGCAGGAGGCGCCCATCGGCGCACGCTGCAGTCCATCCCTCGGCCTCCCTTCTCACGTCCCCTCCCTCCCGTCTCCTCCGTCGTCGCTCCCTCCCCGTCCGTTCATCCATCCAGGCTGCTCGTTCGCTCGATTGGCTTTGAGCGTCCAGCGGAAGCGCCCTCACCCCGAGGGCGGGTCCGCGGAGGACGCGCCGCGCCCAAAGAGGCGGCGACAGCGCGGCCATTCCGAGGGCGGGTTCTCTTGACCAGATTCTGGCCTCCTGCTGGTGTCTTCCTCCCTTCCTTCCTTCCCTCCTCGTTCCTCCTCCCTGCAGCGTGAGCTGTCACGAGTATCGGCCCCCTGCCAGCCAGCGCCACTGGCGCCCCCCGCGCCGCTCCCGCCCCTCCCCCGCCCCTCGTCTCAGCGGCGGCGAGATGGAGGCGTGGCCTGCTGCCGCTGGGCGCCTTCGCCGGCTGCCGCGGCCAGCTGCCGCGGCCAGCTGCCGCGCGGCTCGCGCAGCACTCGCGTCCCGACGCCCGCGTGGCCGAGCACCAGCCGGCCTTCGCGGCTCTCTCGGGCGATCGTGGCCGGCAGCTTTCAAGGCCAGCCCAGGCCTTGGGTACGGTGCTGGCGGAGGCGCCGATTTCTCCTCCGCGTGATGCCGCGGCCGACGCGGCTGCCTCCCCCGCGCTGCAGGCTGGCGCGCACGAGGCCCGCCCTGTCGGCGTGCCCGTGCAGCTGGCCCTACGCACCTCGTCGTCTTCCTGTTCAGGTGCCCCCCCTCTGGTGCCGTGCCACGACGTCTCCGAGGCGATGTGCACTTCCGGGCCAGGGGCAGCAGACGAAGCTGTGAAGGCTCAGACGCCTCGCGCGGAGCAAGTCGCAGTCACGGCTCCGGTTGCTGTCGGGCTCTCTTCCCTGCGGAGGGGAGACTTTCGGGAGCCCCCGCCCGCCGCAGCTGGGGGGCAGACCGTAGAAGGGGCATCGGTCTGCGCACCCTCGCCGCCGCCGCCAGGGTCCGATTCTGGCAAGCTCCCGCGAGGTCGATGCCCAGGTGCGGCCCCATCATGTGCATCTCCCGTCCAGCGAGACTCACAAGCCCGAGTGGCTCCGGATGCAGCTGACCGGATGCAGTCGACCGTTCATTCCATAGGCCGGCCTCCGTTCATCAATTTCGGTTCGCAGCAGCAACGAAAATGGGGTCGTGTACAACATGCTCCGTCCATGCCTGTGATTCGCGGCGCAGATGTGGCTCCAGCTGATGTCCAACTAGTTCAGCGTTGCTCTGCGTCCTCCGTAAGAATTCGTAAGCGAGCTTCGGCCGATCCAATACTCACGCCTCTTTTTCGTTGGTGGATTCGCCCAGGACCACCACCAGCTGCTATGGTCGATATGCTCCTTTGGTTTGTCGGTCAATTCGTGCCGCTCCCAGCGTCGTTGATTTTGCTGTGCAGAAAGAAGATGTGCCGAACTAGAGTGGGATTCCATAAGAGTAGCTGACTCGTCTGGCATTTTGTCGCGTACAGGCGGTCCAGTTGTTCTTGGTACAGATGATGGTCTGGTCTCTTCTGACAGTGTTGTGAGAGGTCAGTTGTCAGTTGTAGCCTGCCCCTACGCACAGTGCTTTGCCCCGTGCGCGTTTCTGTGCGGAGCTTCTCGACAGTCTCACTGCAGCTCTGTTCCCTCTTGCTGTCACACTTCAACTCTGCGAAGAGCTGTCTTCCAGTCAGGGGCTTCCTCAGGTGCCCGTTCCTGCCTGGCGAGGCCTCCCCCTGCCAGCCCGCTCCCCCGCTCAGGAGTCGGCTTTGGCAGCGCGTGTTTTCAACGGCCATCGGCACCCCTGGAGTGTGACGACGCACGGTACGGTTTTCCTTCCTCGTCGTGGGTCGCCCCCGCCAAACTGGAGTTTTACCCCCGAGCTCCCGCTGCGCCCGAGGTGGGTCCCCCCTCAGCAGTTGCCGTGAGACTGTTTTCTACCGCGGAGGCCAGGGCTATGTCCCCGCTTCTCCGCAGCAGTCGCAGGTCTTTGCACGTGATGCCACTCAGGGCTCCCTCGTCGTGGGTCGCCCCCAGTGCCTTTCCCCTGCGGGCTGCTCCTATGGCTCATCCCACGGGATCACCCCCGCTGCTCGCTTGTGGTTGGCTGTACCGTCTCCGTGTCACGATTTCCCCGTCTTGCACGATCTCTTTTCAGTGGTGCTTCACTTGTTTGGCGCTTGCCACCACTCTTGCAGCATTCGGCCCTTCATCGCGTTGTCACTATTCCGCTTAGGTGAGAGTTTTTGCCGCCGACGCAGCAGTGCATTGCTTGTCCGACGCAGGCCAGAGCTTTCCGGTCTGCCTCTCTTCATTATTTTATCCTTTGACAACCTCCTGTTGTGACTCTTGGCCGCGACTGTGAGGCGCTGCAGCGCAAATTGAGCCCGCACCCTGCGAAGCCGCGCGTCGCATCGCATCAACCTCCTCCCGTTTCTCCTCCGTCGCTCCTCCTCCTCATCCTCCTCCTTCTCCTGCCCCTCCTCCTCATCCTCCCCCTCCTCCTTGGCTCCTCCTCCTCCTCCTCCTCCTCCTCCTCCTCCTCGTCCTCCTCCTCCTCCTGCCCCTCCTCCTTTGCTCCTCCTCCTCCTCCTCCTCCTCCTCCTCCTCCTCCTCCTCATCTTCCACATCCTTCTCCACCTCATGCTCCTCCTCCTTCTCCGTTCCTCCTCCTCTTCCGGCTCCTCCTCCTTCGCTCCTCCTCCTCCTCCTCCTCCTTCTCTCCTCATCATCATCTCTCCTCCTCCCCTCCGCCCCTCCTCCTTCTCCTCCGTCTCCCTCTCTTCCTCCTCCTCCTCCTCCTCCTCCTCCTTCCTCCTCCTCCCCCCTCCTCCTCCTCCTCCCCCTCCGCCTCATCCCCTCCTACTCCTCCTCCTCCTCCTCTTCCTCCTCTTCCTCCTCCTCCACCTCCTCCTCCTCCTCCTCCTCCTCTCTCCCTCCTCCTTCTCCTTCTCCTCCTCCTCCTCCTCCTCCTCCTCCTCTTCCTCCTCCTCCTCCTTTTCCTCCTCCTCCTTCACTCCTCCTCCTCCTCCTCCTCCCCCCCCTCCTTCACTCATCCTCCTCCTCCTCCTTCTCCTTCTTCGCTCCTCCTCCTCCTCCTCCTCCTCCTCCTGCTCATCGTCTTCCTCCTCCTCATCCGTCGTCTTTGACAGCATCGTCGTCGACGTCGTCGTCGTGTTAGGAGGGGGGAGGATAGGAGGAGGTTGGGGCAGAAAAGGGGGGAGGATGGATGAGGTGAGGGAATCGGGAGGGAAAAGGTGGGGGAGGATGAGGAGAATGAGGATGGCCAAAAATCCGCTCAAGATCGGCCCCTGGACTGGCAGGGTTCTCAAGCCGCGCAGCCGTGACCACTTGTACCTGCAGAGACGCCCCCAGTGACAACGGCACGGCGGAAGTGATCGAGTCTTGTGTAATAGATGAGACAAAATTGCCAAGGTGTTTCGCCGTGGAGGCTGTCTTCGGCTGGCATGGTCGGCTGCAATTTCCGATTCCGTTCGGACCCCCTGCCGGTTTGCATAAGGCACGCGCGCGCATTGCATTTCGAGCCCGCGGCCGTAATGCCTTGCGAGCTTCCAATGAGCCATGGTGACCAGGAATGGAGCGAGGAGGCAACGCGAAGGAGTCAGGAGCTGCTCCTGTCCTTATTTGGAGAAGCGGCGAAGCAGGGCGACAGCAGACGCACTTTGAGAGTTTGATATCGCGAGGGGGCACAGTTGCCTGAAAGAGATGCCGCAGACCGGACTCGTGCTACGCACGTTAAGCTAGGAAGTGGGGGAATGTTTCGTCCACGTCCCAGTTTGCTCCCATTCGCGTAACTGATTCCAATTCGCATGAGCTTCCGGGCAGTCTCTCAGGAGGGCTTGCGCGGCCAGCTGCTCCGATCCGCAAGTTTCCACTCGGCCAACATTGGCGGCGCTCGTTTTCAAAACGGCCACGTGGCAGATTTGGAGTTGCTTGTCGGTCGCCAACCTGTGCAAGGCTGAACTTGGGCATTTCGTGTCGGGCGTCAGCTTCGCCATGCCACTCGAGACACTGCAAGACATCAGAGCATCTAGATACAGAGTCGGGAGGTGCGCTGCTGGATGGGGACGCTGATGCAATTGCGAGTGGCCTGCAGTAATTGGCGACGCTGGGACTGTCATCGCGGAACCTTACAGAAGCAGCACAAGAGTTGGTTGGGTCGGGTTTCAACAAACTTGTACAAGGCGTTGGAACACATGTAACACATTGGCGCTTCATGGGTCAGGTCAAGCGGGGGCCTGACGCATTTGCGTGGGACGAGGCGCGACATGATGGCGCACGAGCCTCACCTTCGCATTGCAACGGTAAGCATGACACATAGTCGCACGCTTTCGCACCTGGCAGCCACTACCAGCGGCGCCCATTCTATCAATTGAAAAGATTCGCGCGGGCCTTCGCGACCAGAACGCGCACGCCGCGGGGGCGCGCGCCTTGGGAGATACGTTGGGAGCCTCGGACTACGAGGCCTTATGCTCCTGGTCGGATGAGCAAGAGAGCGATTCAGAGGTCCGCGATGCCAAGGCAAGCGCCACGGCGTTTTCGCAAGCAGACCGCGGACGTTGCGAGACATCACGTCTTCGGAAGTGGGATGATGATGAGAAGGAGGAGGAGGGGCAGGAGGAGGAGGATGAGGAGGAGGAGGAGCAGCAGGGGGGCGAGTTCGCTCCTCGCCGAGCGAGACAAGGGGGGACTGTATAATGAAAGACCCTTGAAGGTTATTGGGGCGCGCCGTCGGAGCGGTGATTGTTGTGACGATGTGTATTTCTGAGCACTACTTCTGGGGGCGCCTTGAGCGCGCGCGCCCAGCGCCTCCTGCTGGCCCTTCGGGGCACGCCTGGGCCGATGACAAGTTTGCGCGCGCGACCAGCTGATCTACTCATGTCAGGTTTCCGAGAACGGCGAGAGACAGTCGATTCGCCCCAGCGCCAGTCCGCCGCGGCGCACCAACCGATTCCATTGCCCCCAGCCGAGGCAGTCAGGACGCCGGCAAGTCGCGCCGGGCCAGGTCAGCAGTAGCGGGCCACACGCCAGCATCTACTTCGATCGAGGGCATTTCATATTGTCGTGGAGGGGTGCTCCTGCAGCCTCCAGGGGCCCTCATGGCGCTTTTATCCAGAGCTACTTGGGAATGCCGCACTACCGAGATGAAGCGCGTTCCGCAGAGCACCGGGACCGCGCAGTCGCCCGCGCTTCGGGCGGGGCCTGGGCAGATCCGCAGTCAACGCAGCGCAGCGGCAGAGGGCGGGCAACGAAGCCCCCCGAGCGGGGGGGGAGTCCGCAGCTGACCGCCCCGGGGGCCTCGCCCCCTCGCGCGAGGAGGTGCCGACCGCGCCGTTCTGCAAGATCGAAGCCTTGAGCCCCGCCTCAAAGCGGCCACGCCCCCTTGCAGTTTCACAGCGCGGCCCACGGGGCCGCCGGGCCCTCGGGGCAGCGGCGGGCAGCGTCGCGCGCTTTCAACGAGACCGGAGATGTAGTCGCAGGGCACCCCATCGTAATATTACGCGTCAGGATGCGCTGGTTCCCCGCGAGTGCAAGGGCGACCTCGCTTTGCGCGCGCGCGCCTTCTTCGGCCCCCACGTGGACGTTTTCACCCCCGCCTCGTTCGGAACGCCAGGGGGGCGCCGTCACTGCAGTTGCGCTCGCGGCCAGGATATTGGCCGGGCTGGTCGGAGGCGAGCTCGACGCCGCCCTCTCGATCGACGAGCGCTCGTCGATGGGCGGCGCCGCCGCCACTGGAAGGCGCATCTTGAACGCCCCAGGACAGCGGGCAGACAAAGCGCATCAAGCAACCGTCAACCGCGCGTCTGGTCCAGAGGGCAGAGGAAGTGGCATCAACCACCAGAGGCGCCCAGAGGGCCCCTGAGATCCTGAGGGCCCTGGCCAGGTCGACTTGGGACTTGACTCGCATGCCTGCTCGGGCGGCAGGGCGCAGGTTTAGGAGCGCGGTCTTGGAGGGTGCTTTCAGCAGGGCCCCGCGGGCCCCATCCGGCTGGCCCTCGACTGCCCGCGCTTAAATGATACGCCGCGCGGAACTCGCCGTCGCTGATTGCACGTGCGCGGCGCGAGTAGGTCACTCGCGTTGGCATTTTGGGGCCCGCGGCAGACGCGCGGGCGCTGGCG